CTTCCTTGCTTGCTTGCTTGCTTGCTTGCTTGTTTGTTTGTACATACAGAAGATCCGCTCTCCCATTCACATGCTGTAACATCGTGTTACATGGGTTGCTTATACAGTGGTGCCTCAATTTACGAACTTAATCCATTCCAGAAGATGGTTGTAACTCAAAATGGTCATAAGTCGAAGCACCATTTCCTATAGCAATGCATTAGAACACGATTAATCTGTTCCAGACAAAAAAATACCAAACAAACAAACAAACAAACAAACAAACAAACAAACAAACAAACAACAACATCAACAACAACAACAACAACAACAACACTGCAAGCCCTATTGGAATGCATGAGGGCTGGGGAAAACCCCCCACCAAAAAAACAAAAAACAAAAAAACAAACAAACCCCATCAGAATGTGCTGGAAGCTGGAAAAAAATCACCAAAAAACCCCCCATGAAACCAAAAAACCCACAACACTGGAAAAAAAAATCACCAAACAACAACAACAACATAGCAAGCCCCATCAGAACGCGCTGGGGCTGAAAAAAACCCCCACATATACACAAGAAACAGAGCAAGCCTCATCAGAACGCGCTGGGGCTGAAAACACACACACACCAAAACACACACAAAAATCACAGCATAGAAACATAACACCCCGGCCCAAACCCAGGGAAAAACTCTTTATATGTACTCACTCAGAAGCAGAAAGCAGCACTAGGCAGTCTGAAGCCTCCTCCAATGCACACTCTCTAACCATTGGGGCGAAAGAGCTACAAAGAAGCAGCCTCTTCGCCGACCAATAATTTAATTCCCTTCCTTTTTCCTGGTCTTAACTCAAAGCTTCGGTCACAAGTAGAAGCAGAATTTTGCAGCTGGAGCTGGTTGTAACTCGAAATGGGCATAAGTAGGGACATTTGTAAGTCGAGACACCACTGCAACTATTTGAGTTTTACATCTTGGTGTCTTCTTAGTTGTCCCTTCAAAATCGATACATTTTTTAAATGTTTAAATTATTCATATGTGTATTTTAGTATACAATATTGGCTACTATCATAATATTGCTCTCATAGTATACAATGTTCTCACAATCGTCTAATAACATACCTAATAAAAATAATTCCGGTTCCAAATTCATATAATTTTGAGGTGATTTAACTGACAAACTTTGTATTTTATACCAGTAATAACTGAATACATTCCTAACACATAATAGATGTTATCTAAAGCAGTGGTTCTTAACCTTGGGTTACTCCGGTATTTTTGAACTGCAGCTCCCAGAAATCCCAGCCAGCACAGCTGGTGGTGAAGGCTTCTGGGAGTTGCAGTCCAAAAACACCCGAGTAACCCAAGGTTAAGAACCACTGATCTAAAGCAGAGGTCATCAACCCCTGGTCCGTGGCCCTGTGATGGTCTGTGGCCTGAGCCAGACCGGGCCATGGAGACAGACCTCTCACTGCCCCCGTGTGCACTCCCCTCCCCACAGCTGTTTTGCACACATGCACACATGTGCCAGCACCAGTGTGACCACTCCCCCACCCCTTAACACATGCACCCGAGTACCTAAGTGCCTGTGCGAAGGGGTGGGCATGCATGCATGCATGCATGCATGTGCTCCTGCACATGCATGAAGGGGTGGGACAGCGCTCACACTGGTGCTGGCGGGCACGCAGATGCACCCTCACCACTTCACACATGCACCCGAGAGAGAGCGCACACCTGTGTGCACCCACGCATGTGCGTGGGTAGGGTGCCCAGCTTTCCTCAGAGGCACTGCTGATCTAAAGCATTTTATACAGATTTTTTTATATAATTGTTCAGCCATTTCTGTCTCCATTTTCTATCATGTCTATATCAATATCATATTTAATGTATGTTCATTAAGTACTATTTGTTTTACCTCATCTTTATATTGAGCTTCAATTTACCCTAAGAACCCACCGTGTTATGCCTTTACCCTTATTAGTCATCCCTTATTTCAGTTTAATTCCCTTTCTAATATATAGGATATGCCCCCTTACAATTCCAGAAGTTAGGTACTGTATATACATGCTTTCAAGGTTGAAGGCCACCTTATTTTTTTCCTTTTTCATCTTTCTAAGTAATTTCTTCTCTTATTTGTCTTTTCCCAATTCTTGCTTATGTCTCTCTAAAAATTCTGGGGTGCCTTGTGCCCAGAATTACATTTTTCCCAATTCTTGCTTCTATCTCTCTAAAACTTCTGGGGTGCCGTGTGCCACCTGAGAACATTTTATACATTTGATCTATCTCCAATAGATTTTCCAGGCTATTTTTAATTAGATCTGCAGATTCTCTCCCCTTCTCTTCCCTTAGCACACCTAAAACTCTCCTCGGCTCCGTGGTTAGAATTGGATCTCCTAGGTTTTCTCCTCTAATTTCCTCCAGCCCCTCTTTTGATTGGCATACATAATCCACCACCCTCTCATTTCCTTGTTCATTATTCCCTATCATTCTTCTTCAACTGTTTCATGAATAATTTTGTCTCTTCGTTGTGGGATCTCACTATTTCTAAAGTTGCTTGGTGGGTAGATTTTGTTTCATCCCAAAATTGTCCTTGTTGTGGTATTATATCCCAGATGTCAAATAATCGTATATCAAGTGAATGTTGCCCAGATGCTTAAAGTAATCAGTTGAGTACCATCAGTATTTGCTTCCATAGTTCCACTTTAATGGATTGATCATCTTTAGGGTTAAGCCTGAATCCAGTCTCGGATGTAGAGAGTTTTCCCCACCTAAAGTGTCAGATGTAGAGAGTTTTCCCCACCTAAAGTTTCAAGATCCAGTCAAGTTCAGAACCCAGGATACAGTTTAGAAGTTCCACTTTGGCTGGATTGATCTTTCTAGGGTTAATTTATCAGTAGTTCAGAACCCAGGATACAGTTTAGAAGTTCCACTTTGGCTGGATTGATCTTTCTAGGGTTAATTTATCTGTAGTTCTGTCCTCGAAAAGAAAGGGAATTCCAAAAAGACATAAAATGTTCAAGGTTATTGATTCTAGTCTTTTTGCCAGCACCTCAGATAGCTGTTTCAAGTAACATAAATAAGTTTAGTTTCCCAGAGTTGTTGCCAATGATGTTTTGAAGAGAAAGATTCTTTTTAAAACTATACCATAAACATAAACTACATAAACCAAAATACAAATTAACTGTGTTCCCCACCATCATAGGTGGGATCTCTTGCAATAACCCTCTTCTTCCTCCATCTATATTGTTCTTCTTTTATTGTCCTCTTCTCCAGAACTGCATTGATTCTTGATTTGGAGCTTTCCCTTTTCCTCTTGGTAACACATATTCCAAATATCTGCCCCATATAACAGGAAAAAAATTCTTTTTCATCTCTCCTTTCTTAACCTTTAAGTTACAAGTTATCATTTATAGGTATATTCCATATTTCATTATACCATTCTTCCATTTGAAATTCAGATTTTGATTTCCAAATGCCTAGCTATTATTAATCTAGCTGCTCTTAATAAATTGGTAATCATTTCTTTAGTCATCTTATTATATTCTATATTCTCAAATATTGATAACAAAGCAATATCAGGATTAAATTCTACATCTTTTTCACATATGTCATTTAGTTCTTTAAAGATTAGTTTCCAAAATCTTTGTACTTTTTCACATTCCCACCACAGATGAAAGTATGTACCAATTTCTACCAAGAGAAAGATTCTTAAGTTTATAACAACAAATACCAAACTTTCTTCCTTGAAGTATAATTAAATATTTAATTAATGTCCAATTTATTTTCCTTATATCTCCCTGCTTCTCCTCCTCTCTCCAGATTCACTGCTGCTCAATCAGTAGTGGGGGGTAGAAGATGCTGTTTCTGCCATAGAAATTGTCTCATCCAGGGATAGTAAAGCAATACAGTTAAAAAATGTTTCTCACAATGTTAATTAGACTGATTTATCACTTCTCCATAGCCAGCTGCTGATGACTTGCAAGCAAGCTAGTTCAGCTGCTGGTTTCCACCTGCCGGTTGTTTGGGGAGTTTCCCAGATCAAATGTGGGCAACTGCCACTCCCCTCATGATCAACAGGCTTCTCCCCCATTTCGCCACCTCTTTGGGGTGGTTTTAACCCCTTGGGG